CTAGATTGGGCGGCTGTAAACTGGGAAAGGAGGTTCGACGCCCCAGTTCTCTATGGACCACACCTCTCACCCGGTGGAGCCACGCCCCTCGTGAGGGGGCGGAGCCTCGAGGCCGGACGGTCACTGGCGGCACAGGGTCAGGGTGTTTTTCCTTTGGTCCGTCCTTGTGGGGCCCCTATGAATGCTGTTAGGAGGGGCCTGTCCAGGCCATTCTCCAGACGTGCCAGTGGAGCCCTTAGCACAGCCTCACATATGTGTATTTTGACACTCGACACTACAGGAGCCCTAGGGCCGTTCTAGTAGTAGGTCAAGGTCAGCGTTTCCGAACCACCAATCTGTCGGCTCCGTCAAGATTTACAGTCTCACCCTCATGGAAGGGCCCCAGACGGGGTCACTATGTGTTGAGGGCAGTGATGGTTCCAACTCACAGTAACCCCGTGTGTTACAGAACAAAACCCTGCCAGGACCTGTGTCATGGACGGTGGCACCCGCTGTGGCAGCCACTGTGACAGTCCATCTCCTTCTTGGTTGTGCTTAAACTGGCGCTCTAGAGACACGGTGGGTTAGGCCTTGGGCAAGAAGCCACAAGGTTCACGGCTCGAATCCACCACAGTCCCCAAGGGGAGACAAAAACCAGCTGTCTACCCCCACAAAGACCTACAAAGCCTCACTACATTGGGTCACTACAGGGTCGTTATGAGATGGAATTTGACTCAATGGCAATAGGTTTTGAGTTATGAGTTCAGCGGGAGGCCTGGAGACATAATGGGTTAAGTGCTTGGGCCATAAGGTCAGCGGTTCAAACCCACTAGCCACTCCAGGGGAGAAAGACAAGGCTGGCTGGCTGCTCCCCGTAGTTTTAGGAACTTTAAGGAGAATTTCTACTCTGCCCTACAGGATCACCATGGGTCAGAATCAACTCCTTAACAGTATGATGAATCCGAACTGTCAATAGCAGGGATGGGTTTCTGGTTTTCTATAAAGTAGTTAACTCAGAAGCATCCTGTGAGGAGCCCTGGTGGTATAGTGGTTGTGCAGTTTATAACCACCAGCCAGCCTCCCCTCAGGAGGCTCTTGTAAAGAGTTACAATCTCAGAAACTCTTTTAAAGAGTTACAATCTCAGAAACTCACAGGGGCAGTTCTACCCTGTCCCACGGGGTTGGCATGAGTCTAAACTGATTCGTTGGCCGTGGGTTTGAGCTGTGACCACTCCTGTGAGGTTAAATACTAGCCTGGTCTCCATTTGACAGTGGAAACAAAGACAGCAGCAGAGATGGAATCTGAACCGAGGCGGCCCCAACAACTTTACTAGGCCGTGATATCGATAGTGGCCTCTTGATGAAGCCCTGTGTGGCCCACCCTGGCAGTGAGACGACACTCCGTGGACGGCTTCTGTTTCTGCACCTGTAAAGTGTGGATGGGTACCTTTTCTGTAGTGTGGATGGCTACCTTTTCAGCAAGCCTCTTGGACAGTTATGAACTCTCCATGGCTTGGGAAAATGCTTTGGAAAGTTCAAGCCAACAAATAGCTCTCATTGTATTCTTGTACAATTACAGAGATAAAAAATATCACAACTGAAGGGCATTAAAAAGAGGTTTTCAAAGAAAAAAAGACAGTAAGGGGCGGGGGTAGGGTGTCCCGGTCTTGGGTATGCACAAATTCTATTTCTGCGCATCCCTGGTGGAGTGGTGGTTCCTCATTGGGCTGCTAACCACAAGGTCAGCAGTTCAAAACCACCAGCTGTCCCTTGGGAGAAAGTCAAGACTTTCTACTCCTGTAAATAGCTACATTCTTGGAAATCTTTAGGGGCAGTTCTACTTTGTCCTATAGGGTCGCTATGAGTCAGAATAGATTCAATGGCAGTGAGTTTGGGGGTGTCTTTTATATTCGCCAATTCAGTGAGGACCCCCGGTGGCACTGTAGGGTAAGCATTAAACTGCTAAACCCAAAGTCATTGGTGCAAAACCACCAACGACTCCACCAGAGAAAGATAAAAGATTCACACAGTCTCAGAATCCTATGAGTCAGCATTGACTCAATGGCAGTGAGTTTGTTTTTTGTTTTGCGCTTTTTTTTAAAGACCAAAATCAGTGACTTAGCAGTCGTATATAATAAGTGTCAATTAGATGCTAGAATTTG